CGTTTCAAATTTGGAACCAAGAACTTACCTACCTTCAACTTTTGGATTTGGGTTTTATATCAGATCCAAAATCAAGAACGAAGAACACCCATTGTGGATTTGGATTTGGGATGTTGGATGGTGGTGGTTCGCGACAGGGGGAGGCGGAGGAGCTGCCAAGTCAACTGTGGTGGCTCTCTCTGCCAGAGAAGTGAGAAACGAGGGAGATAGACGAGTTGGAGATGAAAGGGAGGTCGAGCAATGAAACATCGGTGCAGGTGGGGAGGCTCGTGGGTTGGTCGAATGCTTACAGGTTTTTCTTAGTAAACAAATAAGAGATGGGGGTGGTTGTCTTAACTGGATCTTGCTTCTTATTCTTTGATAGAGGTCTACACGAGAGAGATGGTTGGAGATCGGGTATAGCAGTGACGAGGGGGTGTTTGGGTGACGCTCTTCGACTGGAGGAGGGGAAAAATCGGAGGTCCGATGGAAGAGAGCAAACAACAATAGTAGCAGTCGGTGGGGTTTTTCCTCGCCGGTATCTTTGTCGATCGAAGAAGGAGAACAAGGGAAGAAACTGTTTTGGGGTTATTGGGTTGCGTTTCTCGACAACCCCATGTATGTTTGGCAGCTCTAGTCAACAGAGGAAGAAAATGAAAGGAAGGTTTATTGCTCCCTTTTGACCTCGCCGGAATCAGCAACCACTCTGGAGGTTTCTTTGACATCCAATCGGAGAAGAAAAGAGAGAGAGAGAGAGAGAGAGAGAGAGAGAGAGAGTTATTTTCTTTTTTATTTTATTTTAATTATGAAAATATTTAAATAAATAAAAAAACTGAAAAAAAACAAAAAAGAAGGGTAAAATCGTCATTACAAATTTTTTTAAATTAAATTGGACCAAACTCGCAACAAAACGAAAAGTTTGGACCTGTGGTGCTAGTCCAAAACTTTTTGAACCAAAGTGACAATTTTTAGCAAACCACAGAGACTATTTGTGCAGTTTTGTCTTCTAGAGACCTTATAAATCTTCCTATATTTTTTGCAACAACCTTTTTTTTTCTATTTTTTATAATGTAATAATTGAAATTACAACAAAAACCAGGTTTTGGGAAGCTAGTTTAATTTCAAAAAATCTCGTGCGTAACAGTAATAACCAAAAAAGAACAGTTTTTCGGTTAGAAATTCAGGTTTTTCTAATCCGGGTAAAAAACCTATCAAAAAAACAGATTTTATGAAATCCGCTCCAAAACTGATGGTTCGGATAAAACTAGTCCAGTTATTAGAAGTTTATACAGACAAAGCCCATTTTGGCCCGTAAGAAAACATTTCGCCAACTTTCTTTTGGTAAAGTTATTCAACATCAAACGCGACCCACACGACTATGTCCAGAGCCTTTCAATGATTCAATCCCAGTTCAAACTTTTTTTTTTTCATCTTATTTTTTATTAAACGAATAATTTTATTTTAAAAATAAAATAATATTACTTACTTTTGAAACTTTCCTTTATCAATATTAATCTCTAATTTTAGATTTATATATTTTTAATTTATTCTGATATATTTGTTATATTTTAAATATAATAACTAATATTTTGACAAATTTACAAAATGGTCCATGTGTATTGCATTTTTTCCAGATTTTAGTCTCTTAAAAGATTTGGATAAACGTCTTTTTACGTATATTTCTCTATGGATGTCGTCCTCCTCCAAGTTAACTCTCATTAATTCTCTTTGGGGTGTGGCGGGAGGGAAAATATAATTTGGGGTCACTTGGTGTCATGGAGAGTGCAGTCAAGTGTGTGTTTGGTGTGCGTAAATGCTTCATGGGGTAGGAATTATTTAGGAGTTGACTGCTCTCTTTCATGTTTCCTTTCAAAATATGCGTTTTTCTTTCGGTATACTTGAGATGGGGGGAGGGGGTAACTTGGTGATGTGTGTGTGTGTGTGTTTTCTTTCTTGTCTGGTTACAATGTGACAGGTATACAGATGGAGTGCAGCAGAAAGGGGATAGCAAGCACTAATGTTTAAAGACAGGTAATGCATCAATACAAAGGGGAAGGAAAATTAACTGGTGGAATTTTGGACATTTTTACCCTTATGGTAAAATCTAAAGGATGGTGAGAGCACAAAAGGAAGACGTGAAATAACGACTGAGACCGCAAGACGGAGGTACAAGATAGCTCTTCGCAAACAAAGATGGAGAAATATGGAGACAGAAGGACACAACTACCTCTGAGTAGTAGGATGAGATCTGGAAGGAATATGGAGTAAAATCGCATGAAAAGGTGAAGCTGATCAGGAAGGAATTGGTAACCAGACAGGGTGAAGAAATATAAGCATCAACTTAACTCCAATCATTATGCAAGTCAGGTTGGCGCATAGCAAGAAGGTAATAAAGTAGACCGTTGGGTTTCATGTGTTTGGAAGGAACCGGAAAGGTATAGTTATATCCGCTGTAAGTTTAATTTATGTGGAGGGATATAGACATACACCTTTGTTTCTAGTTTGTATTTGGTTTGGTTTTTATGTTTGTAAACTCCATTGTGAGCCTCAATTTCCCACTGAGTGCTCTTTGGTTTAATGCAACAGGTATGTTCAAAAAAAAAAATTAATTCTTGCTATTAACTTTACGTGCCCCACATGAGGGCAAATATGTCTTTTTATTCTCTTAACAATACCATTTTTGCATAGTTTAAAAATGTTTCATCATTTTTTCCAAACATCTTCTTTAGCGCTCGAATCCTTAGGGAGAGGTGTGACAAACTGAAATAGAAGAAATATATATATATATATATATATATATAATATATATATATATATATATATATATATATATATATATTACAAAACTGTAAAAATGGTCTATGTGGTATGCATTCTTCTGAATTTAGTTCAAACCTTGATTTTTTTGGCTTCGTGGTCCTTTTGAGCTAGTTTCGTTGTGGATTTGGTCCCTCAGTAAACTGAAATGACTTTAATACCCTTGGGGTATTTATTTTCTATTTTTCTTTCATTTTTTCTAAATATAATAAATATTTATTTATTTAAATAATAAAAAGTAAGAGGTGGGCCCTCTTATTTTTTATTGTTTAAATAAACAAATATATATTATATTTTAAAAAAATAAAAGAAAAATAGAAAATAAATACCCCAAGGGTATTAAAGTCATTTCAGTTTACTTAGGGACCAAATACACAATGAAACTAACTCAAAAGGATCACGAATCCAAAAAAGTCGAGATCTGGACTAAACTTCAAAAAAAATACATACCACATGGAACATTTTTGCAGTTCTCTCTCTCTCTCTCTCTCTCTCTCTATATATATATATTATATATATATATATATATATATATATATATATATATATATAATATATATATATATATATCTATATATATATGGCTAGATTATAATGTGGATGGACAACTATTGTGCGGACGTGTGAACAGTGTTATTCTATGAGAATTATTAAGAGAATCAGTTGTTTATTAATGTGAATACGTTCAACCTCACACAACTATCGTCATTTTCAAGCATTCTCACTATTTCTTATTCGTTGTTGTTCGCACACATCGTTTTTTACTCATTCTCATTCTTACATAATACGCATCAATAAACATTCTCACAGAATGAGAATAATTATAAAAAGTTTATAATAACCTTATAGACAATTTAATCAGTGAGAATGTGTGATAATGACAATAGTTATATAAGATTGAATGTATTTATATTATCAAACAAAATATATATTCTTTTGTCATTCTGACATAATAGCATTGTCCACACGTCCGCACAATAGATGTCAATCTACATTTGAACCTATATATATATATATATATATATATATATATATATATATATATATATATATATATATATATATTGGTTATGATTAATTAAATAAAAAAGATTATATATTGGTTTTTTCGGATTAGACCATATCTTTTTCTAAACACGTCTTTATATTTTTCAATTTTTCGATTTAGTCCTTATATGTTTCCATATTTTAGATTTATTCCTTATATTTTTTCATTTTTTTTATTTGTCCATTTATTTCAGATTAAACCTCAATTTAATTTTATTTTCTTAAAAAATATTACTTTATTGTGTAATATCGGTAAACCTGCTAAAACGACCAAATCGAAAAATGGCAAGATATAAAGGATTTTTTGAAAATAAAATAAAATCAAGGTTTAATCCTCAAAAAAACCAAATATATAAAGTCTTTTATATAACTAACCTATTAATTATATATAAAAGAAAAATTCGGTATCCTCCTATATTTATTCCTACTTATATTCCTACCCATATGAAATGGTAAAAAAATATCATATTTAGATAATATTAATTATATTTTAATACATTTGTCATCATTTTAAATGGATAGAAAAATAAATAGAAAAAAATAGAAGGATTTTTAATTTCTCTAAACAAAATTACCGATTTAAATAACGTCTTGATAAACGTCATGTGGTGTCTAAGACTTGTAAAACCTAAGGTTTCAATTAAGTGCTACGCCACGTCCCATGGCATTTAAAACCTTGTAGTAATAAAATTATGTTTTGTAGACGCAAATATGTGACATGAAAGTCTCAATAATTAAAAAACTTTGCATAAAACAATAAAACATTCGAAATAATCTTTGCTATATATAGTTGCATTAATTGCATCATTCAATAATTGAAATAAAGCATAACAAATTACAAAATAAGAATAAGTGGTAAAGACCCACCAAAGCTTTATATGTTTGTGGAAAAATCTTTACATAATGACCACAAACACCACAATGCTTATGTTTATGCTTATTGCCAGCTATAAAACAAATTCAACCCAAAAAATACATCCAAAAGCACCTCTTCCATTAATGTTTGGTAGTAACATTATGATGAAATATCAAAATACTCAATAACTAAAAAAAGGAAACATTCCAAAACCATATATCTCCATATAAGAATAAGAATAATATCACACGATTATTGTTACAACAAGTAGTAAGAATTGAATTGATGGATGTAAACACAGACCCACACAAAAAAGAAAGACCCATCATGCTTCTTGCCAGCTATAATAAATATAAATTCAAATAAAAACAACACTAGATTTTAAAAAATATAATATATTAAAAAATCAAACCCAATAATATTTTATTCCACTCTACAAAATCCATTTCCTATAATAATATAATATATTTATGTACAGCCAACCAAACTGTTCATATTGGAGTTGAAGAACCTTCTTGCCTTTGTTCTCTCAGGTATCCAAGTAATCTTTGAGCCTAAAAAATCAAAATATAAAGATTCCATCAAGATTTAAAGATTCTATCAAGAAACTATAATAATGTTAATCTTCAATGTTATAATCATCAATGCAAATTTCAAGATTTCAAGATTACCTTGTGTTTAGCTCTGGCGGTTGACGTCTGTGAAAGAGCAACAAGCGGCGGAATTGCACCTTCTCCGACCAACAACCCTCTGTTTCTGCCGCTATAAACACCTTCTTCACACACCTGCAACAATGTCACCACCGCGAATTCTTTCCCTTTCACCGATGTACCATCCTCAATCACCTCCACCAACGCCGTAATCCCACCTTCTTCCACGATCGCCGTCTTCCCTTCCTCTATCGCCGCCAAGCTACTTAACACTACCATCGCTTTCTCCGCCATTCCGACACCCGTTTCCCCGGCAACTAGCTCCACCAAAGGCTTAACCACCCCCGCAGATACTGCTCTCTTCTTGTTCGCCTTCATCGAGCAGAGCTTATACAGAGTGGTTAACGCGTCTTTCCTTCCTCGATTAGAACCATTGATTAGGAGAGATACCAATGGAGGAATAGCTCCGCAAGCTCCGATTGACGCCTTGTTTTCGTCGACCAAAGCTAAACTTAACAACGCACAGGCAGCGTTTTGCTTCGAAACCTCCGTCCCGGTTTTTACAACATAAATTAGGGATTTTACAGCTTCGGCGTTGGCAATTAGTGGTTTGTTATCGTCGAGGAGAGATAGATTAAGTAGCGCAGTAACGGCGTGCTCTTGAGTCCAAGGATCGGTACACCCGGAGAAGTGGAATCAACGCCGGAATGGCGCCGGACTCTCCGATTAACGCTCGATTATCTGATCGGTTCTTCGCTAGCAGTCTCAGCTTCGCTGCCGCCGACCTCTTCACGGCAACGGAACTCGACCTCAGACTATCAACACAGATCTTAACAGTCGGCTGTAAATCCTCAGGCGAAATGCTCTCAATTATCTCCGTTGAGAAATTCTCCCGTTGCAGAAACCCTTCACAAGGCTCCGGCTCCGGTTGCAGCTCCCGATTCTCATCATTCTCTCTCGATTCCTCCGGGAAAGTGGCCAACCGTTGTAATTCTCCCGATATATCACTACTGTAAGCCGAGAAATCACTGAAGGCTTGAGAAATTTCTAGAAAATCGTCAGAGGACATCGTAGAAGACGCTGATTTCAACGGCTTACGGTTGCTCCCGCAGGTAGCTGTAGCGAGCTCCTGCAAATGAACATCGATAACAGAATCAGTAAGGTTTTCATCGTTAAAGTGGGTTTCAGTGGATGTGAAGGAACACGCGTTGCTGTAATCGGATTGGTGGAAATTTGAACGAATGGTTCTCATGGAGCGACCCATATGTTTGCTCCTGGAAGGTGAAGAAGAAGATGAAGGTGGTGTGTAGTAAGGGTAAGGTCGAGTTATGGAGGAATTAGAACGACGGGTTTCTTCAAGAGACACCATTGAATTAAGCTTGAGAGGGTTTTCAGTTTTGAATTCAAAAAGTTGTAGATTTCAATTTCAGTTTCATGGTGGTTTTGTTTTGGTGATTGAAGGATTTTGGAGAAATGAAGGCATGAAAGGGGTTTTTGTGGTTGGTTTTGGCCACTGGCATAGAACCACTGCCAGCTAAGCAAGGCTTTGGAGTTTACGCCTCATAAAAAAACACATTTTTATGACCATAAAAAATTAATAAAACTTTTTGTTGAACAAGATAGAAATTTCAAACAAGAATAATACATTTTATAATTATAATATAATGCAAGACAAGAAGAAAAAAACAATAGTGATAGTTGATATATTTATACTTGCTTTTTTAATCACAAAGTCAATTGCTTTTCATATTAAATCTATATATATTCTCTTAAAGGGAAGGGAAAGGTAAATAGGTAGTTTATGTCATTTCAATTTGTTAACAATAAGCTAAAAAGTAATGTGCATACACTAACCTTAAAAACTCAAAAAAAAAAAAATTGATAAAATGGATCACATGAACTCAGTTGTATAATAATTAAAAATGGAAAGCTTTAGATTATGTTTGGCGCGCCGCAAGCTAACTAATAAGCTAATTTTTTTTCGAGTTTTTTTATGTTTTCATGTTTGTTAAGTTAAAAAGTAGCTTATAAACTATTTTTTTAGAAAACTACTTATACTAGTTTCTTAGGAGCTTTTTTAAAATTTTTCCAAATATATCCCTAATTAATTATAGAAATACATTAATATAAAATGTCATTTTATATATTTCAGCTAGTTTTTCAACTATTTTACGAAACGTTATTTTTTATTAGCTAGTTTTTCAGCTATCAGCTAACTTTTTATTTAACAGCTACATTTTCAGCTATCAGTTAGCTTTTCAGTTAGTATGACAAACATAACCTTAATATGGATCACAATGAAGTGGGTAATCGGTGAATAATATTTGTGTTGTTTTTAATTTCAATATAGAAAATTATTATATTAGGTATTATTAAAAGTTGTCTTTTACTTTTTACTTTTGTTTAATAAAAAAATTTTAAAATATTTTAAGAATTTAAACCATATTAGTCTATTACTAAATTTTTGATATATTATAAATAATATAATAATCTGACTTATAAAATTTGGTTTATTATATAGTTTATTGTTTGTAAGATCCAAACTAGCTTATTATCATACCATAGCACATTACTGTACTGTCACGTCATCGTTATTTCATTTTTCTCTTACCCTATAAAATTGGTGGGTGACATACTACACTGTACAATATTTTTATTTTTCTCTTTTTTAAGTGAAATAAATATAAGTTAATAAAATTGATAGAAGGAAAAACAATTCATTAATTTAAATAAAAAATTGCACAGCTAAAAAACGACAATTAAATAAAAACATTATATAAAAAATGACAATTTTTAAATAAAAACATTACTTGTAATATATTTCGTGATGTTCGTTCTAGCTCTCAAAACCATATCGAGCTCGTTTCCAGGGAGATGATCGAAGAGTTTTGTTAGAAATTAATAATTTTTACTTCCTTGTTTCTCTTCTTGAACTCTTTGTTTCTCCTCTCTAACTTTCTTTTTCTCCTCCAATTTCTCATTTTCAAAATTCAAACGACTTTCAAAATTCAAATAATAAATTTTGAAATTACTAGCAACTCTGTGACTGTGGCATACTAGGCTAGCACATAAAACATAACAGATAGTGACATACCAAACAATTATCACAAAGACAATCATCTAACAAACAACTCCTACTAGTGGGCCGGCATTGTGGCCTTAGACCCACTTCTACTGGAAGGTAACTCACCTCAATGTCGTGAAGTAGCTGAACTGTCCTCGGCTCCTGGATCAACTCCTCTCAAACTCCTACACATAATTATCTCCTTTAATTACCCCTTTCATACACATAACCACTATAAGGGTCAACTATAGTCAATGGTCAAAGTCGAAGTCAACATCGTGGTTGACTCGACTCGCCGAGTTGGTCCAACAACTCATCGAGTTCCCTAATCCATAAAACCCTGAAATCTCGATCCTACTCGTCGAGTCCTTTCATGAACTCGTCGAGTTCATCCTCAAAGCATAATCGGGACCTTTTACCAACAACTCGCCGAGTCCCTCCTTACACTCGCCGAGTTCATCACTCTTCATAACCCAAACCATGGCCAACTCGCTGAGTCATCTTCTAAACTCAACAAGTTTGCTCAGTAACAGAAAAGGTTGGGGGACCACGACCCAACTCGCCGAGTTGTATTAGCAACTCGTCGATTCCCCCATAGTCTAAATCTATTCAATCGTTTCTAGTCGGGCTTACTGCATCCAAATCATAGATATGGTTCCCTAGGGTCGATATATCATGTAAAGTTTCGAACTTTACGTTTATGCATGGGTTTATTTGTGACAACCCGAAACTTGTCCGTTTCCGTTACGCGATTTCCGTTAATAAAATTTCGAATTCATTAACTTTTCCGACAAACTTCTTTGTTTAGAAAATAATCTAGTTATATATAATTAAATTATTTACGAGTCAGAACCAAAAATCGCGCTGAAACCCGATTATCTCGAAAAATCAAATCAAATCTGGCCTAAGTGAGTTTACAACCGTAAAGTTGTTTACGACCGTAAACTAGTTTACGACCGTAAACTCATTTACGACCGTAAACTCATTTATGGCCGTATACCTGTTTACGGTCAACAAAGGGTGGACCCCCCACCACCGACCACAAAACCCCTATAAATACGAGACCTCCACCTTCATTTGAACATTTCTGGCCATAAACTCTCTCCTTCTCTCTCTAAGAACCTTGACCGTAAACACCTAAAAACACCTTCAACCTTCGGGAAACATCGAGAAACACCGTTTGGAGTCACTTCAGAACATCTGGAAACGCTTATCTCTTCGAAATCAGCACCATTGTTCTTGAGTTTACGGTCCATCTTCAAAGACCGTAAACACTGTTCTTGAGTTTACGGTCCAAGCCTTCAAAGACCGTAAACCCTGTTCTTGAGTTTACGGCCGTAAACTCACCAAGCCTTCAGAAACCGTAAACCCCAGTTTACGACCGTAAACCCCGTTCACGGCCATAAACTGTCTGTTGACCGTAAACCCTAGTTTACGACCGTAAACACCTTTTAAGTGGTGCTTTTGGATGAAAACCCACTTTCATCGATTCGATCAAGTCCCGGTAACATTCCTCAACCGAATACAAGTGTTCCTCTAACACGTTATCTAACGAAATCGCTAATTTAGATACATATATGTATTTATTTGATAATAGGATTCCGTTAAGTGTCACGTGCAACAACTCGAGGATCTTCATTTCAGTCAGCGATTTCACGCAAGAACTGTGAGTTCATACCCCTACATTTTCCGTATTTTTAATGTTTTCAGGGGGGGAATACAAGCTAAACATAAATGTTTTCAAAACTTATGCAAATCTCATACTTTAACCCTTTTGTACTGTATTGATCATAAGGGACGTTTTCACTAAAATTTGCATAGTTTTCCGGACACGCTATTCACTATACATGCAAACTATAATCGGTATAGTTTGGGATTTTCCAAACATAACGAGTACAGAAACTTTCACTACTAAACATATGCACTAAGACAGAAATAGTTTACAGTTACATCACTACTTTATCATGGTTTTCATAACTGTAATTATCACTATATACGGGATACATACGGATTTTCACTACGATAGAACGCTACTACACTACATGTAAACTAGATTGTACGATACTGTGTGGCACTACTTCACTACTGTACCCTTAGGTGTACAGGGATAAATCCTACCATAGTATAACCAGAGTCTCCTGGAGGGAGAGCGTGAGATTTGTGAATAGATCTATTCGGGACTGACAATCCCACACCCGAACTGCTAGCTACAGTTGGGCAGGCATGCCTAGGGTGACAAATGTCATTTAACTCGACGCCTGAAGAACGTTGGAAAGGTCTCTAGTCATATCAAGCATGGTTATACGACTCACATTATGTATAAATCACCTTTAGTTTACAACCTGGCACTCTTCAACAGTTTTATTTTTACTAAATAGAACTGATACGACTACGTATACTGGTTAAAGCCAGGGTTTTCAAACAGAACCGATTATGCAATGGTTTCACATACAAAATACTTATACTTCATGATTAGTTTTAGCTAGTCACATGAGGTAGTATTTTCGCACATCACTACAGTTTTCCGTAACGAACATTCATGGTTTTATACGAAATCGATAACGTTACCTTTTCACTAAAGAAAATATCGGATTTTCTTGTAAACATACAGATATTCATGGTTTATTACAGAACTGATAACACTACATTTTCACTAAGGAAAATATCGGATTTTCTTAAAACTATACAAATATTTTCCGAACTCGTCGACGATTTTCACTACAAACCACCGCTTATGAACTTACCAGCTTTATGCTGATACTCTTTCAAACTGCTTGTATTCTCAGGAAATCAGTAGACAGGTACTTGCTGGATTTTCGAGGAACTGGAGCAATAAGAGTTTTATGTTTATACTATACAAAGCTATTGGATGTAATTCAAACAAAGTTTCAACTGATGTAAATATTTTTATTTAAGTATTCACTGTAATGGTTGTGTTACTATGATTGTTGTTATTCATTGGTTGTGATGCTACACATGACGTCCTCCGCCCCGGAACGTTTCCGCCATCGGTTTCGGGGTGTGACAGATTGGTATTAGAGCCCTGGTTTATAGCGAACTAGTATACTGAACCTTACGTGGTATACAACTATAAACACTAAGGGGCCTAAGTGCTCTACGCTAAAAGTATACTTTCAAAAATATAAGTATTTTATAAAAGTATACGAGCATGCATACATAACAAAGTTTGTGTCTCTAGTAGAACAAAACAAAAAAGTATTTGGATGTTGGAACGCTGTGGTTAAACCTGGGCAGTTATGTAATCATGTCTAGGGTGAATATAGCATGATCAACTATAGTCAGTC